GAATGTTGACCTGCTCAGCATCCCCTGATGAAGAGAGAAGAGACCTGTGCTACGAAGCCATGTTTCAAGCCGCAGGGCCCAGGGCACAATAATTTGGGGAAGCTGTTTTAGGAAAGTCACACATCTCTAAATGTGAAGGAAGAGAAAGCAAAGAGGAAGAGATCAGCTAGAAAGGAGATTGATTAGAGATGGAGGATGTTGAGAGAAAAATAAAACTGCAAGGGGCAAAGAATAGGGATGGGGGAATCCAGGGGCAACTTCACAACCAGAAAGAAAAATCATGGGCACTTCGTATTAAGGGACTCAGCCATGTGACTGAGACAGCAGCTCAGGAGTCTCCTCTAGGGAACAGCAGGGCTTTTATTAACTCAAAATCAGCCTGGAAAAATGTCCTTAAGCTATAGTTTGGAAGCGTCAACATCTTAGCAAGTCACTATAACAGAGTTTTAAGACACACAGTTTTAAGTCCAGCACCCCTATTTGAAAACCTGTTACATATTAGCTATATGAGCTAACCGTTACTTCCTTCCTGAGCCGCAATTTTCTTATTATTAAAATGGAGATAATAACACCTACATCTCAGGGTTGTTAAAAGGATTAAAGAAGATGGGTGTAACAAGGATAGAATGTCATTCAACTACTGAATGTTCAATGAATGATAACCTGTGAGTAGTTTTAGCATAATGGTTACTTATAATATCATTAGAATTAAAACTAGCATTGCTTTTCTGTTGTCCACATTTGTCTTTGTCTTCTATGTATTTAGGAAGCATTTCTTAAAATAGTCATCTATTTGTTCTTTGGAACAAGAGTATGAAACACCAGAATTCAAGGTTGCCATATAGCAGATTTCATTCTATTATACTAGGAGTCTCCACGTCTTTCTCTCTCCTTTCTCTCCCTCTCTCCTTTCAATGGTGAGAAAACTGGGGGTAAGGTAGACAAGTCAGGGCATCGAAGCAAGAAAAGCCAGATTTAGACCAGAAAACAAAACACCTTCCAAACAAGCTATTCACCAACGTCGGAAAACTCTTCTTCTCATTCTCATACAGAAAACTTCTTAAAGAATTTATTCCTTTGCTTTTGTCCCCAGATCTGAAGTTTCCATCAGAGTCCCATTGCCATTTTATTATAAAGTTCTGACACCAAGATATGGGATCATTTATGAGGCCATTTTATGGCTAAAAAAAGGGCTAAAAAAATTAATCGCTCATTTTGATTTAGTCTTCTCTCCTGCCCAGTAATGACTTTGGATGCCATCCTATTGACCTTCTCTGCTTTTGTTCCCATCAAAATCGATACAGTATGCGAGGTCATAAATTTGCTTTGGCTGGCTTTCAGTTCATTGCAGGACCAAATGCTCCCCCTGCAAACCGGGTGATAAGGAAGTTATGGGTGAGGTGGTCTCCTTTAATCAGCAATCATTACATTGGGGCCAGGCTTTAAAGTAAATGACAAATTGGCAGCCTGAGAGCCAGTGGGGTTTGGGGAGTTACTGATCAAGAAGCAGCCTTGGAAACTTAAAACTTTACCTGGAGCTTCATAGACAATGAGTAGCAGCTGCTAAGTAACAGGTTCAAACCATTTTCTTAATAAGGTTTATTTCCAGCGGCATCCGAGTGAATACCAGTAATTTGGTTCCTCATGGAAGTGGGTCGTATCCAGCTCCAAAAGTATGTGATACATAAAAAGGACCATACAGAGTATACACATACATTTTGCAGATAATGACTGAACATCTACTTATCCTCCACCAACTTAAGAAATAGAATATTCTTGTATCTCAAAGAATCCACACCCCTCACTCTTGGATGTAACCACAAATCTGATTTTTGTGATAATGTTGTCTTTTCGTTATATTTTATCACTTGTAGATATATTCATGAATAATATATTGCTTTATGTTGGGGTTTTTAAATATAAATAAAAATGTAATTTGAGTTCATAAGTGATAGCAATATTAGTCTTTTGTGACTTTCTACTTTTATTTGAAACATAAAAGACAATATTGTCTTTTATTGTCTTTTATGCAAGTCACTGGCTCATTCACAGTAACTGTTTTGTAATAGTCCATTATTTGAATAAACCACAATTCATGTTTTCTTTCCACTGCTGAGAGACCTTTTCAGGTTTTGTTAGTTCTTTTTATTATTATTTAAAAGCTACCATAAGCCTCTTTCTGCACATCTCTTAGATTGCACAGGCAAGAGTGTGAACGAATACATCCAAGAGCAGAGTTTCTGATTCTCAGGATACACTGAGCTTTACTGCATAATGCTGGTTTATACCAAGCTGGTTTATATCCATTTTCACTCTTATGAACAAGAGATTCCACTGCACCCTGATATCCAAAATGCTTAGTATTTTATGGATTTAAAAACATTTGGATAAATTTGGTGGATGTAAAATTATATCTAATTTTGGCTTTAGTTGGTTTTAATTAGAATCTGAGAAAACTGAAGAGATCGAGCATCTTTTTGTTCATTTATGGGCCATTTGTATTTTTTTCGTCTACACAGTATCTGTTTACATCTTTCCCCCATGTTTATACTAGGTTGTCTATTTCTCATTGATTTCTAGAGATCTGTAAATATATTTTGGATACTAAAACTTTGTCAGTAATACTGTGTCAGTTATATATATTGCAAATGCCCTTTGTAGCTTGTCTTTTCACTTTTCATACATGGTACCTTTTTAACAAACAGAATTTTTTTTTTTTTTTTTGAGATGGAGTCTCACCCTGTCACCCCAGGCTGGAGTGCAGTGGTGCGATCTCAGCTCACTGCAACCTCTGCCTCCTGGCTACAAGCGGTTCTCCTGCCTCAGCCTCCCGAGTAGCTGGGATTACAGGCGTGCGCCACCACACCCAGCTAACTTTTGTGCTTTTAGTAGAGACACGGTTTCGCCATGTTGGTCAGGCTGGTCTCAAACTCCTGACCTCATGATCTGCCCGCCTCGGCCTCCCAAATCTGCTAGGATTACAGGTGTGAACCACCATGCTGGCTTTTTTTTTTTTTTTTTTTTTTAGTTATTCAAGGGTAATGTGATTTCAAATTTAGTAACAAGGCCAAGACATATATCAGTCCTAAAGTTTTGTTTGCCTTGTTAGTGGTGATTAAAAAAAAAATACATTAAATTTATCATCTTAACCATTAAGGATGCAATTCAGGAGTGTTACCTATACTCACATTATTGTGCAACTGATCTCTAGAAATATTTCCTCTAGCAACACTGAATCTCTATATGGCCGAAGCCCTAATCCCCTCTACCCTCCCCCACTCAGCCCTTGGTAACCACCTATTTTCTGTCTCTATGATTTTTGACTACTTAAGATACTTCATATGTGTAGAATCGTACAGTGTCTGTCCTTTTGTGACTGGCTTGTTTTGCTTAGCTTAACGTCCTCGAGGCTTATGCATGTTCTAGCATGCGACAGGGTCTCCTTCCTTTTAAGGTTGCAGGAAACTCTTTCGTGTGTATGTACCACATTTCCTTTATCCATTCATCTCTCGATGAACATCTAGGTGGCTTCCATTTCTTGTCTGTTGTGACTAATGTTTTGATGAACACAGGTGTGCAAACATTGCTTCCAGATCCTGCTTTAAATTATTTTTATATAAAATAATTTATATATAATGCCACAAGTACCATAATTATATATGGCGATTTTATTTTTAATCGTTTGAGGAACCTCAGTACTGTTTTCCATAACGGTGACGTCATGTATATTCTCACCAACAGTGTACAAGGTATTTTCTCATAGTTCTGGAGAACAGAAGTCAAATTTCAAGCTGTCAGCAGAACTATGCTTCCTCTGTAACTTTGAGGAGAATCCTTCTTTGCCTATTCTTAGCATGCGGTAGTGGCTGCAGACACTTTACATTTCTCTCTGGCCTGCACCTTCATTATTCCAAGTCTGCAGCTACACTGGTCATCATGTGACGTTTTCCCTCCACCTATATCTGTGTCTCATCTCCTCTTCCCATAAGGACACCAGAAATAATGGAAGAAAGCCCACCCTAAAGACAGCATCTTAACTAGATTATATCTGTAAAGACCCTGTTGCCAAACAAGGTCACATTCATACATAACAGGGAATAGGGCTTCAATAGGTCATTCTGAAGAGCACAACTCAACCCACACCAGCAGCATTGTTTAAAATTACATTTTTTGTGGTTTTCAGAAACCCAAGTGACTTCTGCATATCGATTTCAAATGCAGGAAACTTGCTCAATTCCCTTTAAATTCTAATGATTAATAGATGCTAAATAAAACATGCTATCACCTACAAATAATAATTTTTTCCCTTTTTCAAGTTTCAAAACTTTGCTGTTCCTTGACTCACTGTATTGTTTAAGAATTGTATTTTCCAAAGAAAAATAATAGTGAGGGTCTTGAACTTGTCCTTGATCATTAGGAAAGTGGTTCCAACCATTAAGTACACTACTTGCTACACGTTTTTGCCATTAAGTACACTGCTTGCTATAAGTTTTTGTTTGTTTAGATATTAATCTGAGTAATTATTTATCTAATTAATTAGTAGTATTTAATTATTAAGAAAGGTTTTTTTTTAAATTCCTGGTTCATTAAAAGAATCATTTTTGGAAAATCATAAATAGGTATTATATTTTATGAAGCACTTTTTAAAATATGTTGAAATAAACATACAGTTTTCTCCTTTAATCGGTTAATACAGTAAATTATAATCGTTTTGTTAATAGTAATGAAGCAGGAAAAGTTCCCTTATCCCCCTCGCAGGGCATGAGATGGAGGTGTGGTTCACTTCTTCAGTGCTCTGCTGCTCACATCTCTAGGGGAGCTTACAGACGGGCAGGCTGTGGGGCTCCGACCCCACGGCAGTGTCTAGGGGTAAATGTTCACAGCCGAAGCCCCAGTGGGCATGTGTTACAGTGTGCTCTTTCAGTTTAGCCTTTGTCAGCTTAAGTAGACCCCTGCCTTATGGCAAGGACAGAGGGCTTTCTGTATCCCGGGGTTCTTACCTTGGTGTACTGGAAGAATCGGATCACACGTGGTCTTGGAGAACGAGTGCAAAGTTTTATTGAGTGGACGTAGCTCTCAGCATATGGGGGAGCCAGAAGGGAGACGGTTTTTTCCCTGGAGTCAGGCTGCTCCTTGGCCCGGGCTGTCCTCTGACTGCCCCAGCCAAAACTCAGCCTCTCCGTCTGCTGCTCCGTGGCCTGTCCGCATCCCAGGCCCTGCTGATGTGCTCCTCTTGACATCCAGCCACCTGTGTGTTCCTCCACTGATGTGCTCCTCTCCACGTCCAGATGTCTGTGTTTCTTCTTTGGTAGATCTGCTCCTGTAGAGGTCCAGCAGCTTGTGTGCCAGCCTGCTAGGGTCTGGGGGCGGTTTATAGGCACAGGATGGGGGCGTGGCAGGCCAGGGTGATCTTGAGAAGACAGGAAATGCCTCTCCTCACCCAGGTCCGCGGGGGTGGAGCCCTAGCCGGGGACCACGCCCTCCTCTCCCCAGCACTTCCCTTCCGCACTTAGGAAGCATTTGAAGGCACCACGCTCTTCCCTTGGCAGCACTCCCTATCAATAATTCCTGCTTCTGTGATTAAATGCAGCTTGGCCTAGCTGTCTCCTGATATTCTGTGGGCTTTTTTTGTTTTGGGTATTTTTGGTTGCTATGCAAAGCTAAAGTTATTGCCCTCTAAAGAGAGTTTCTCATGTTTCACAAGTTTTCTTTGTGGTATTTTCATTTTCAAGTAGTGCAAGATAGTTTCTAATTTGCCTTTGATTCATGAGCTTTTTAGAAGCTTACTTTAATTTTAATTTTAAATATATGTATGTATTTTTTATTTGTATTCTCTTTTAAGTATTAGTTTTAACTTAATTACATTGTAGTCAGAAAATGTGGTTTTTATAATGCAAATCTTCAAAGTGTATTGAGAGTTAAAGCACATGGAAACTTTTGAAAAATAATATGTTTAGAAAAATACATTTTCAAGTTGTTGTGTAAAACATTTTATATATGTTTGATAAAGGTTATTTTCCTACTCAAAACCTTAAACTTCCTTCTTTTTCTTTGTTTTTTCTTTTTCTTTCCTGCTTTTTTTCTTTTAGTCACCCTGAGGAATAACTTACTGATGGATATTTGTTTAAAAATCATTATGTAAAATTTTCAATTATTTTTTGTAGCCTAACATATAATTAATATGTTATATATCCCAAGCCTTGCTTTTAGACATATCAAGGTCTGAATTGTTATATCTTCCTGCTAAATTGAATGTATATATTTATAGACTTATTTACTTTAATTATATATTTTTAAAATATCTATCTTATCTAGCGATACAACTTTTCTTCTGATTGATATTTTCCTGGTATGCGTTCCTATCTTTTAACTCTTTACATCATTGTTTTTGTTTTGTCTTGAGAACAATAGATACCTTGTGTTGCTTTGATTTTTGTGCATCCTGAAATGTAGTTGTATTTTAACTGAAAATTTGGTTTTACTTTTTTAAATTATTATTAGTATATTTGTATCTATCTCTAACATTAAGTGCTTCTTGTTAACCTAGCTCTAAAGTTTTCTTTACCTTTGATTTTCATTTTTGGATTGTTACAACCTTTTTCTTTATCCTTATTATCATTATATTTTATTTCCTCTGCTTCTTTGGAAGTTACATGTTCTTTATTTTTCTTATAGTGGATAGCCTGATTTTTAAAAAGATATATAATACAGTATAAAATTAATCAAAATATTTTCTTTTCAATAGAGCCTTAAAATATTTTCATTTTCATTACTTTTTTTTACTTCAAATTACATTATTTTCCATGTTTTTTAATTTTTAATGTTTATTCTGTCACCATCCCTATCACATACATACACATTAGGAATTACCGTTTTTAATACATTAATGAATGCTTAGATTATATTCTGTATATGTTAATATATTTAACTATATATATTAATGCCTTATATAATATATTGATGTCTATACCCATAATGTCTTTCAAATTCTATTTTAAACCTTTTGAGATTATTTTATTTCTGCCAAATATATGTCTTTTTAATTTTTCTTATAAAAATCTGTTGACAATAAAGTTTTTTCTTCCCCAAAAGTATTATTATTATTATTTTCATTTTTATTCTAAAAAATCATGCAATACGTGGAATTCTGGGATAGAACTTATTTAATTCCAGCACATTCGAGATAATATTTCCTTCTTCTCTGGCATTAATAGGTGTTTCTGAGATATCGGATCACTCTAAATAATGTTCTCTTGTGGTTGATGATGTGGCTATGAGTAGATAACTATGATACTATGATGTGGCTAGGAGTAGATTTTTTAATTTTCCTTTTTCTGTTTGGAATTTATTGGGCTACCTGAAGTTGAGTTTAGTGGAATAAATAAAATGAGATATAGGGCACAATAGAACATTGCAAAATGAAAGAGATTTCATTATACACAGAGCAACATAAATGAAAATTGAAAAACAAGTTAAGAAGAAAACCCTAAAATATGTAAGAATTTACCATCCAAAACAATATAAAATCATGAATAGTTACAAGTAAAGATGTACAAAACCAACACTTAAGAATAGTCACTTCTGATGTTAGTAGAAAGGGGAATAGGAGTATGGAATAAAGATAAAGGGCAGACTCACACCAAATAAAGCAAACAAAAACTAAACAAATTAATAGAGGGGCTTTGTATTGACACTTAGGTGAGAAGTATTACTTACTTAAACCTTTATATCTGAGGTCCAAAGTGTATGTATGTATAGGTATATATGTGTACCCCTTCAGTTTCTACATTTCTTAACCAAAATCTTTAATTTCAATGTACTTGAGTTTATTATTTTATGACTTACACTTTGTGTTTCTCAAGTTCTCTAAAAAGTCCTTCGTAAATTTTCGTTCAAAATGATATTCTCCTGTATTTTCTTCTATTAAACATACACACATATGCACACGCACACACACACCACACACACACCGCACTATACAATTGCAAACTCATATATATTTTTTATAATTAAGTCTCTAATCCACCTGGTGTACAACTTTGTATGTGGTATCAAGTGAGATCTTACTCTGGTTTTCCTCTGCCACCAACAGTAGGAACTTCCTAGTCAAGTCTCTTTTTTAAGGATCTGCTGTGCCTTTATATTTCTCCCCATGATGTCCTTTCAGCTATGGGCTCTAGTTGAAAACTGTTCTACAGCAACTTACAACACACAGAAAGATGTTTCCTTCAGCCTGAATTATTTTTATGATAGCCATAATTGAAACGCATAATTGAAACGCAATAATACAGAAAATAATCATACACCAGCCTTGAGCAACTTCTCAGTCAGGGTACAAGATTTTGGCATAATCAAGACTATGCTATTTCACTAGTGTCCAGATAAAAATTGCAATAAAAATAATAGGCATAATGTCATGGAGACATAATGACAAACCAACAAGTTTTCCATCACAGCAGGAATATCCACCTCTGTTCCATTATCGTTTTTATATCTTCAATGACTCTGTTCCCTCCATAAACCCAGATGATTCCTATTAGTTCCAGTGTAGCTGCAATCGAAATGTCCCATTCAGTGCAGTAGTGGCCAGCCAGATGAGTCACTAAATTCCAGCCTGAACCACGCAGGTGACTTCTCTCTCTTTCTCCCTGTTTCTCTCCCTTTTTCTCCTTCCTCTCCTCCTCCCTCCTCTGGTAGATGGACTCCAGACATACTATCCCTTTGTCTGTCAGGATTACTGTGCCTGTCTTCACATATCTAACACATTCATACATGGTCTCAGCTTTAAGATTTCCTTTGTCTGGTCTGTGGCAATCCTAAGTAAGTGCTCAATAAACTCCCTGTGCTTGCCCCATGAGAGCATTCATCAATGATATGTAAGTATTCCAGGGGACAGGGGCCCATTGCTTTACATTTGCCTGGCAGCATTTCTCTTTCCACTTCTAATATTAGACCCCTCCTCTCTGATCCTAGGCATGGCCCATGTCCCTGGGAACAGTAGAGACTAAGGCCTGGGTCTCAGTGGCATCAATTGGAGCCTTTCCCTGGGACTGATGTACGAGTATATCTTTCCGTTGGTATCTTTAAATGAGAAGATAAAAATCCGGGTTATCGTTAGCCACGTTCACTGGTCAAGAAAAAGGGCCTCTCTGCAGAACATAACTGAGCAGAACCACACAGAAGTGGAAGAAGTAAGGAGGTTTCCAGAAGACTGTGAGTACTTGATTCCAATCTCTGGGCTTCTACTTCAGGCAATTCTTCCTTTGATCCTTCCCAAGTGCTATACATAGAAATTTCTGCTTTTGCTTGTGTTAAGGAATGGCTCTTTATCACGCATAATAGAGAGTTCTGATGAATATACCCAATTACTCATCTGTGTGTCTCTCAGCATTGCTCACCAGGATAGCAGCATCGGCCTTGCCTGAGAATTTGCTAGACATCCAATTCCCAGGCCCATCCACAGACCCACTCAGCTCAAGACCTCTGGGTAGGACCTGAGATTCTGCATTTGAACATGTCTTTCAGGAGTTCTTATGCATTCTAATGTCTGAGAAGAACTCCACTAGTGTATAACGTAAGAGAGATCGAACCACAACGATCAGCCTGTCCAACTAGTTTACAAATTCCATAGAGACGTTTCATCTCTTATTCAGTCTCGTACTCACCACCTAGAAAGTGCCTAGCACACAAATTGGTATCAGAGCATGTTGAACAAGAAACACAAAGATAGAGAAAGCAGAGTAGGACGGCAAAGCTCCTGCATTCAGCATAGAATAAGGTTTAAGCAAGGTGTTTGGGGACATGGATCTGGGAATGAAAGGCTGAGACTTTGGGGTTGGAGACTGGGAAATGACACGGAATAAGAACAGGAACTCTGAGCAAGTTAACAGAGTTTGAGACTCACAAGTATGGAATCCAGCCCATCATCTTTCTCCTTGGACATCTGTTATTACTACATTTTTCCTCATTGAAAGGTAGACAAACAAGAGACACCTCTTCCTACAGCCGCAATTTCTCTTTCATTGGCTCTCAGTGCCTGCACTGGGACCATCTTCACTGCTACCCTGGTTGGACTCATCCCCGCCCCCACCGCATACGCAGGGTAGCAAAAGCACCGCATATCGAATTCGCTTTGCCAGATAAATGGGGTCTCTAGTCGGCACACAGACCTAAAAGTTTGGGTGAGAAGTTGGCATGTGAGGAATGGTGGGTGTCTTTTTTCTGGGGGCCACGGTGCCTGGTGTAGCAGAACCTGTCCTGGAGTCCCATGCAAATAAGGAGGGAGGCAGGTTACCAGCGCGCATCACAGAACCCAAGTTAGAGCAGAAAGGGGCTTCTTGATATAAA